GGCAACGTCCGCTACGAAGTGGAGCTCAAAGTGTGAGTACAGCGATGGGGGCGCGAGGGCGTTGGGCCCCTGCCTGGGATCCGGCACCGGCAGCCGTGACAACCGCGTCCCTAGCACCTGCCCGCACCGCTCTCACCCCGGGTGCTTCTCCCTGCAGCTACGGCACGAACGCCTCCTGGGCGGCCATCCCAAACTGCGTGAAGATCTCGGGGCGCTCCTGCGACCTCACGTACTACACCCTGGATCCTGCCCTGCGCTACTACGCACGGGTCAGGGCTGTGTCCGGAAACCGCACGTCCCCGTGGCAGAGGACCAACTCTTTCTCCCCTCAGGAAGGTAGGTCGGGTGTCTGCCTCCTCCCTGCAGCCCGGGGCAGGAGGCTTTGGGGATGGCAGAGGTCAGGGTGCCAAACTGCTCGGGAAGAGCTTTGGGACAGATGAGAGCAGGGATGTCTCTGTCTTCATACCTTCCTGGAGGGCAGCTGGGCTGTGGGATGGGGTGGGACAAGCCTAGGATAGGCTGCGAGGAACAGTCACGGCTCAGTCCGCTGCTGCAAAGGCTCTTAGAGCTGCAGACGGGAGACAGGAGAAAACCCTAACGGGCTCTTCCAACTGACTTGTTTCCAGCCAACCTGCGCCTGTCGGGCCAGAGCCTCTCTGTGACGGGCAACACCGTCCACGTGCAGCTGCAGCTGCTGCTCAGGGCGGGGAACCTCACCGTGAAATACGACGACATACAGAAGTACACGAGGCGTTACCGGGTGTACATCAGGAGGGTGCAGGACAATCGGACGGTGAGATGAACCTGCTGCTCCCGTGCTTTCCCCAAATGTCCCACGCAGTGCTGCCCAAGTGGAAAAACACATGTCTTAATACTGAGCTTTCTCACAGCCACAGCATCGCAGAGAGGTTTCTCTGCGCGTTTTATCGCAGTAGGTTCCCCAATTCTTGTTGGGATTTTGGGTCTGGCTGCTGTCGACAGTACTGCTAAGCACCCTGTGGATTTTCCCCGGTGGAGGAGGAGGAGGGAGGGAAGCATGGGGCCCAGCGCTCCCGCGGGAGCTGGAGGCTCTCGGGTACCAGCCGGAGCTCTGGTCATTGCAGTATGAAGTGGTGGAGACCGCCCCAGAGTTCAACATCAGCAGCCTCTTCTGGGACACGGAGTACTGCATCAGCGTGGAGCCCGACGTGGCCAGCCGGCACACCCGCACCACGCGCAGCGACGAGCAGTGCGTCGCCATCGGCAAGAGAGACAGTAAGTGGGGGCAGCCGTGCGGGACACGGGTCCTGCTCAGCCTCCTGGCCCTGGGAGCGCGGGGGTCTGCACCGGGGGCGCCGCTCTGTGCACCGAAGACCCTGCCTTTCCCCCCCTCACCCGGGCACGTCCTCTCTTGCAGGGAGCGCGGAGCTTGTCCTGAACATCGCCAGCTCCTCCTCCATGACCCTGTTGCTCCTGGGCCTCCTGGGGGCTCTGCTGGTGTGCACCTACATAAAGAAACCCATGAGGCCGCCGTCCGTCCTGGTAAGGCAGCTGGGCACGTGGCACCCTTTGCAGCCGGTGTGGGGGCACAGGCTTGGGTAGCTGTTGGGAGAGGCAGGCAACAAGCAGGGACAAAGCGTGGCTCACTTCCCGCTTTTCTCTCCCTCCCAGAAGTCTTTCATAAAGCAGAGCTCGCTCTGGGTGGAGCAGGAGTCCTCGTCCTCGGGCAGCCTGGATGCAGACCGTGTCCAGCAGCTGTTCCTGTGCCAG